AGGACGTTGCTTCACTGGCCCATTTTGGTATTATCATTGCGCTCTCCCCGGGTGAGGCAGATCGTTTGCCGGCCTCTGGACAGCCGCTCACAGCGGCTCCTGGCAGCTCACACCGGCTGCCGGCCGCTCACGCTGGCTGCCGGCCATACACAGTAGCTTATGGCAGCCCACTGCAGCCTTGCTGCAGCTCACCATCTTAGCTGTAGAGGGCAGTGTCACTGGCCCTCATGTGGGATCCGAACCAGGGCCCTACTGCTCAGAGCTGGTGTCCCAAGTCAGCTCTTAACCAACGTGCCACTCAGCTGGCCCTATTTGTCTTTAATTTTAAATAGTTTATTTTAAATATAATTTACTTCATCTTTAGCTCAACCTTTTTACATTTCTATTTTGTTTATATCTAGTAAAATGAACAAAGTATGTTTAGTACAATAGTAGACATAAATTTACACGGGAAAATTATGTTTTACTTATAGGTATGCATGCCTAATAAAATTAGAAAGCAATAATATTGAAAAGAAGAAACTATAAAAATAGTGTTATAAAGCACCAGTTTTGAAGTAAGGTCCATGGCGGGGCCTCAGGAGCACCATGAACTCTTGAAATTATATGCAAATGTGTATGGATGTATATTTTACAGGAAGAAAAGCTCCAACTTTCAACTGATTCTCAAAAAAAAAAACAAAGAATACGCGACCAAAAGAGCAACTCAAGGGCCGGCTGAGTGGCACGTTGGTTAGGAGTTAGCTTGGGACGCTGGCTCTGAGCAGCAGGGCCGCGGTTCGGATCCCACATGAGGGCCAGTGACGCTGCACCCTCTACAGCTAAGATGGCAAACAACAGCTTGACCTGGAGCTGGGCTGCCATGAGTCGCCAGCGACTGGGTAGGCTGCAGCCCCTGCTGCAGTGGACTGCCATGAGCTACTGTGAGTGGCTGGCAGCCAGCGTAAGTGGCCGGCAGCCAGAATGACCTGCCATGAGCGGCCGTGAGAGGCCTTCCAGTGGCCAGAGACCAATTGCCTCAACCGGGAAGAGTGCAATGATAATACCAACATGGGCCAATGAAGTGACATCCTCCACAACTAGACTGAAGAACAAAAGGACAGCAACTTGTCTGTTTACCTCCCCCGATTCCCCAGCACTGTTCCCCTCCCCAATTTCCCAATAAAATCTTTTTTTAAAAAAAGCAATTCAAAACAAGTCTTTTAGAAAAAATAATTTTCTAAGCAACACCTAAGATGGAAGGAGCACTAGATCAGGGATATAATAAAACTGTTTCAAAGGACAAAGGAAGAGGCATTTTTGAAACACAAATCATTATTTGTTTTCTACTGAGGGTTTAAGGATATAATAAATAAACTCACTGTCTTCGTGTCTTGGGAAGAAATCCTACCATTTCCATGGCCAGTTGTAAGCGTTCAAAGTCATGCCTCAAATCTTCCCCCTCCACTGTGAAGCAATCCTGCTTATTTAAGAAAAAAGGGGAGGAATCAAGATTCCCTATTGGAAACTAACATAAGCCACCGAGAAACATAGTAATTTTAGATGAGTATACCTATGTATAAAAAAATTAGAACTGATGAAATATTTAGACACAGTCAAATTCATTAGACCTCTTAGCTTATTATAGGTATGCAAACTAAACACATATCTACCAAAATATCAGTAAGTTACCTTTTTTCTCCCTTTCACAATCACCAAGACAAGATTCTCAAAAGTAATTTTTAATACCAATTTTAATTTTGAGTGGTTTTGAAGCGCTTTGGAGACCCAAAGCACTCAAGAGAGCTAAATTGCACAAACAAGTGTTATTTATTCAACAAATATTTAATAAATGCCTACGCATATTCAAGTCACTGAACTAGATCCTGTGACACAAAAATAAATTTTAGAAGAGGCAGTAACGTAGTTGAGAAGTGGAGCCTAGATTTGTATTATATAAAGATGTTTATGTTATACCGATATTAGGTATAAATAGTTCCTAATGAAATAATACAAACAACATGTAATCAATCAGCAAAAGAAATAAGTATATGTTAAAGTACAAAAATCTGCAAAGAATACACATCATATGAGTCAGTATAAATAGTTGTGGACTACCAGATTAAAAAATATTACTTTTTTACAGTAACCCTTCTGCTTCAGTTCCCAAAAAAGGGAAACATTAACACTGTACACATAAGTCTTTAAATCCCTTTGCTTATGTTCTCACAATCCATTACTTATATTTTCAAAAACCTCCTCACACATGTTTACTTTTGTTAATGCCTATGCGCCTACGGAACGTTTTATCAAGTACTCAATAAATGCGTGAACTGCTATCTGTTGTATTCACTGCAGATCTCCAACATCGAGTCAGTGCCAAGAAGCAGGTAATTATTGAAGTAAATACATAATCATTGAATTACTGAGTAAGTATTGAAGTGAATGAAACATTCCTTTTTGAGAAATAAATGCTCATTTATTTTTTAAAAAGTATTTATCAAGCATCTACCATGTACAACCTGCTTCAGACACTGTAAGAATGAGTTAATGAATATATCTATATAGCTTAAAATTAAATATGAAGGTTCAGAATGCTGTTAAAAAATATGTTTATTCTCTATATGGAAAGGTACACATGCATAGTTTAAAACTCTAAATTCACTTCAAGAAGAATTCCTTCTGAGAACCATGCATTTAATTGTCTGCCTATAAAATTTTGGGTAAGCAACTTTAAGACACATTTCTACAACCATGACAATGTCCTACTCACTAAAAAACGTAACATATATTTTACCTATAGTTAAGCTTTTTAAAATGCTCTTGCTTCTCTTCCCCCCAAACCACAGTTTTCATTTTATAACTTAGTAAACATTTTTCTATAACAAGTGGGGAGGGGGAAAAGCTATGCTTCCACTTGTGTAAACTCAATGATAGAGCAATGATTCTCATAACTGATTATGCTCTTATCTGCTCCCCAAATGAATATAATAATGTATACATAATAGAAAAAATAAACTGGTAAATTTCAAAGAATAAGGCAGGGCACTAATCCACAACTGTTAAAACCTGTTTCACTGAAAAAAAGATAGCTGATTTCTCTTGTCCAATTCAACTCAAGCTCTTACCTGATAACATGCCACTGCATACTCCCCCACACACACCAAGCTGTTCTCTCATGCTATCAGCCTTTTTTCCCTTTGTATGGGATGATGAGAAGCCTTTCTCACTTACAAGTGCTCATGATAAGCCCAGCATGCAGTAGGCATTTAATGTGGGTATGAGGGAAAGCAAGTGAAGGATATAATCAAATTAGACATTTTTTTCTCTGTTGTCTATATTTTTTAGAATGTTTAGAAAAATCATACTTTTTATAACTACCAGTTGATAGTGCAGGACATAAGTCACAATAATTGACTTTGAGAGCTCATAAAGATACAATGGATTATTTAGGAAAAGAATGGAAAAAATATATATACTACATACATATATAAAATAACCTGACTAGAAAGCCAGTTACACTAACTTGCTTCATCACCATGGGGGAAAGTCACTTCAATTCTGAGCCACCGTTGCTTTTTGTTTGAAAGGTAATCATACTAACTACTACCAGAAGATTTTACATGTATCAAATATAATATGGTTGTTCAAGTGGTTTTTAAATGGAAAAAAAAAAGTTGTGCAGCAAGACCTTACACTGGACTGGCACCAGGTGAGGAGTAATGCCACAAGCGACCACAAGCTTATAAACTGTCAGGGAGGAAATAGCAGCAAGAGTCTTTATGCTGTAGAAATACCATATTTCCCCCACGGATACGACGCTCCCATGTATAAAATGCACCTTAATTTGGGGGCCCAAAATTTGAAAAAAAAATGTATTCTATAAAGTTATTGAACTCAAGTTTTATTCATCATAAAATTCATACGCCTCCTCATCACTTGTGGGAAATGCAAGTAAAAAAATCTACAACCACTGTATAAGACGCACCCAGTTTTTAGACCCCAAATTTTTCGGAAAAGCGTGCGTCTTATACATGGGGAAATACGGTACTTCAGAGAGACATGGAAACACTATGGATTCAAGGGATCCTGCCCGCATTGCATCAGGGCCCACCTGTACTGCAGCAGGTCTATGCCATGGGGAAATAAGCTGTTGGGTATTTACACAGATGTCTGCATTCCTATAAAGGTAGTAAGGACCAGGGTGTGACCTTGGTCTCAACAAGACAATATTCTAATCCCTCTGCAGCATGGTGGACATGACAGAATCCTGAAATTTATTATGAATGACAATTCTCATTAAAACTCTGCCGGACAGTTGGGCCCTAAAATCATTCAAAGCTTGGTTCAAAAAAATAAAAAGATTAGGTGAGACTACCCCTTTACATTGAAGTTATTAAACAGCAGCTTTAAGATAGAACTATTAAAATAGCTTATTACCATTTAAAAGAGGAAATTAGCATTTACTAAATATCTTCCACATATGGGAGTCACTATGAGAGTCACAACATATATAATCTCACTAAATCCTCAAACAAGGAGATAATTATGGGCATGTATATATAATTGTATGAACATTTATAAGGGAGAAAACAGACTCAGAGGGTAAAAAAAATTCACCTAAATGACAGGGTTGGCCAAACCAAAACCTACCCAATTCTAAATCCTCTGTTCTGTCCCATGCAACACTAATTGCTTGAGCTTATTAAATAGAGTAATCCTTAAAAGGAATTAAATCACCATACATGGGCAACACCAGGTCCCCTGTTAAAAGCAATTTTCTCACTATAGTTCCTCTTGGAGTCATTTATACAATCCCATAAAATGTATGGTAAGTAATATAACACAAGTGGCACAGTCCTTAACAATCCCCTCTCTCTATAATGCAACAATCCCCTCTCTCTATAATGCTAGGCACGTAAGTTCTAACAACTCAGAGGGAAACGAAGTTTAGTTGGCCCTAAAATACACTGTGAGAAGGAGCTAAGAGGAAAGATCACACCAAAAGATCCTCAGGTTGCTTGCTTGCATTAATTAACATGTGAGAAAAAGCAACAGAAATTAAAGTTCAAACCATAATAGCTTTGAAAACACAATAAGCAGGAGGATACCAACTGAAGTGATCTTAAGGGAGTAGGAGAGTATGGCTACAGTCTTTCCAAAAGGAAATGATGAGTAACGATTCCAGTGGTGGCAGCAATGGTGGAAACATTTACTGTGCACTTACTAAGTTTTAAGCACTCTACCGAGCTATTTTAGAAGCACTGTCTAATTTAATACTCACAGAAGTTCAGATAAAGACCATTATCTGTAATCAAGTCTCATAATGGCCATGAGTTTCCAGGTCTCCTACCTACTTCCTAATGAGGCTCAGTCACTTGGTGTACTAAGTAAAAGATCAACAGTGGCAAAACCGCATAAAATTTTTCTACCAAAATTGATCAGAATCTATAAATTTAAATGCCTAAAATTTATTTTCCAAAGTGTTAAATCTGAAACCATAAATTACTTGATTATGAAATGGTAATGCAATTAAACTTTGTCCAAAAAAAAAATTAATGTCCATAATTACTGGTCTTCTTCAACTCTGAAACAGACTAGTTTTATAATTAGTGGAGTTTGTAATCACATGCAGTTAAGAATTAAAGTCATGGTTATTTAAAGCAAACACTAAGAGGTTGTGTTTCCAGAATGACTAGTTAAAAAATTAGTTCATTAGTTAATTAATAGATACAGATGAGTGCTTGTTTACAGCCATTTACATCTGACCTAACTGCAAACTGAAAGGAAGGGAAAAGATTTTTTTGTGCTCTTTTTATGATTATATATTTGCCCTTATAAAATATAACAAATAAATCTAAATTTATCTAGTCATTTTATATCACATCATACTCATATATGCCCTTAAATCACAATTTAAAATGTAAAATAATCTTATTTATACGAATTTCAATTCTAAATTTTTGAAAAATTATAAAGGCTGTAGCCTCTCTTGCTATTACAAAATTCAAAGAAAAACTATATATGTATTCAGTCTATTAAAGACTGTTAACTGATACATAAAACAGGAAGGATGTAACTTTTAAAAATAAAGAATGAATACTATTTGTGTAATGAAACCACTAAAAAATAATTGAAAAAAATAAATGTCAAGGGAAAAAAAAACTGTAGTTCATAAGGATCCACATCAATGCTAAAATCAGGAATGCAATTTGTTTATTATTTGTCAAATAAATACTGAATATAGCCTAAATGTTAGCAGAAAAAAATCCAAAAATATGGAAATTGACTGGTTTTTAATCAAGAAACCATATACATGCAAATCAATTCAAAAAAATTAAACACTGATTTATCTTCTTTCCTAGACTGTTTGTATGTCAGCTGATTTTTTTCTATTGGGTTGTCAGAAAGGTCATGACACATTTTTGCAACAAAAAACAGAAAAAAATACGTCATTACTTTTCCGACAACCTAATATGTCACAAGATAGATGCAAATGAGCAAGGTAAAAGTCCTTTAACAGGAACACAGAGTATTTAGGTGCATGTACTGACCGGCTCAGAGTCATAGCAATAATCATCCCAGCTCTGTCTGAGGGGTTTCTTTGTTATCTGAAAGTAAGGCAGATTAGTTAGGTAGAAGTAATGGTTATTATACTTGGCTAATTATCTCTTAAACATAGTGATCAGATATCACTGCTGCTATTCAAAGACAGTTATTTTGTATAGTAGTATAAAACAACTAGGTAAGCATTCACATTCTCGGAGATTATATATTATTAGAACCAATCCATGCTTGCTACTGTCAAGTGACTCTGAGATTTTTATTAACTGCTGAGTCTCGTATTCTACAAATACTAACCTTATGACAAGAATATGTATGGTATGGACACTGATTACAAAAAGATCTGGTTCACAGTAATAAACTTGGAATTTCTCTAATATTAACAATTATCAGTTCACTTATGGGCAATTACTACTTTACAAAAAGGAAAATATTTAATCACCCAAATATAATGCAAATAGTTTAAACAGGGAAGGGAAAAAACTCAGAAGCTAAATCAACGTTTTTTTATATATATATAAAAAAAACTACTTAATTCTATACAGTATAATGTCTAGTATTATATCACAAAGTGATATTTCAAATAATTTTGAAATTCTCAATATACTAATACATCAGGACACAGTTAAGACACATAAATAACGGGATGTACAGACACTGGAGTACATAGGCACTAGGACAGAAACACACACACACACACACACACACACACACACACACACACACACACAAGGGCTTACAGAGACACCAGGAAAACACAGACCCAGAGATATACAGTCATCAGGAAATACACTACACTGGAACATAAAGACAATAAGCTAAACAGACACTGGGAAATAATTATTATTATATAGAGACAATAGGGCACATTGGGACACACAAACATAAGCACAGTTGGTCAACAGGACACACAGAAATATAATATACACAGACAATGGGACACACAGCTACTGAAGCATACAGGCTGGGACAGTCATTGGAACACACACAGACCCTGTAACACACAGACACTAGGAAACAGCCACTGGGACATACTGAAATTGGAAAAACAAAGATACGGCGATATAAACAACTTCTAAGACACATGAACACTGTTCAATACAGTCACTGCGACACAGACACCGGGGCACAGAGACACTGACATCTGCACAGAGTGCTAATTACCAACATCGGGAAACACAGATGCCGGGATACACAAACACTGACCCTGGGACACACAGGCATACAGTCATTGGGATACTTAAACACTGGAAGACAAAGACACCAGGCCATGAAGACATTAGGACACACAAAAGCTAAAACATATTGACACTTGGATACACTGTCACTGGGATATACACAAACACTGTGACACTCAGACATTATTAGGACACAAAGACACGAGGATACACAAACAATGGACATATAGACAGTGGAACAAATACACACACACACACACTATATACAAAGTTATGTTCGTTTATATAAATTTGTTGTTTCAAAATTATAAAACATCAGTTATACAGCATGCTGTGTATCTTGGGAAAAGTCTTTAAATGTTACTTTCATAACCCTAAATACACGATAAAATCTTTGAGCCATTATCAAAGTGTCACTCTGCTTATTCATAAGGATTTTTAAATTACCATAAAGTAATTTCTTTCCACAGACATTACATCTTGCCTCAATTAAAAACATGAGACAATTTGTTATGCAAATGATCTACTGTTGTATCAATTCCATTAATATTGGTTCTAGAATTTTTGCTAATATGAGGAATAATAAACTTAGAGAAACCAATGTAATGAATAGTTGTTATACTGTTTATGGAAGTTTAGGAGTGTATTGTGAGTTTCAAGGAAAAATACAAATTCTCTTAAGTCATTTCCTTTGATGAAGTTCATATTGAGGGTTTAATAGAATCATTCACTAAATTATAAAAATAATCATACTAAGTCAGTATCACAGTTATCATGCAAAGAGGTATATGTATTAGACTTCAAAACATGCATATAAGGTTTCAAGTAGTGCCTTGCAAAGGACAAACATTAAACATTAGTAGCATTTAACATGCGTGGTCTGTAAAAGGTAAATCACTTTGAAAAGAGTAAAACATTTTTCTAACACAGAGATACCTATAAATATTTTATTACTCTCTTAAAGAGTTTCTCAAAAAGCAAAAGGCAAACACATAAGTAATCTTTTAAAACTCATGAGAGTAATAATAATTTTTAACTTGGAGAACTGCATCACACAAAGTTTTAGATTGCATGTATGAAAATGCTAGTTAATATCCACTGCCAGATTTGGGGGGAAAAGTACTAGGAAAAAAACTTTTCTCAAGAGCTAAAATTTAATAATGCCCTACATTTCAAAACGCTTTTCATGAACTCTTACCTGATTGAGATAATGATATTCTTCTGGTTGTTTAAGATGGAATGCTAATCTCTCTTCTTCACTTGCTCCTGCCAGGAGGTAATAGAATACATGATAGTTCCTGTTGGGAACAAAGAAGTATGGCTTTATAATGAACATGATCTATGGTTATTATTTAACAGGAGAAAAAAAATTAATTTTTTTAGTCAAATATTTCAGCTTTGCTTCACTTTTTTAAATACAGAGGTGAAAAATTCAATATTTAAGTACTATAAAAACAATACAATGCTTTGGATGCTGAATTGAAAAGAGGGATGAAGGCAGCAATATGGCAAAATTATGATCTCTGAAAATTCCCTCCTCCAAAAACCAGTCAGAAAATGAGTAAACTAGTCAACATCAACTTTTTAGAACTCTGGAAATTAACCAAAACCTTATAGCAATCCAGAGGTGTTTGCATAAGAAAAACAGCTGATTTCTCAGTAAAAATAGTAAGCTTTGTGGCCTTTTAACTTGTCCTATTCCATCTCCTACTGTCCAAATCCACTGTAGCCTTCAAAACCAATAGCTTACAATTGTGGCGAACACCAGAGGCCTGAGAGTATCCAAAAGAAAGCAGAATGGGGTTGGAGCTGATTCAGAGGCTCATTACCTGAAAAATAGCATCATTTGAACTGTCTGGTGGTTCCCTGGAAGAAGCCATGTTCAAAGCTGTCTTTTTTGACCTGACCCAAAGTTAGCCCAGTGTGAAAATCTTTCCCCCAAGGCGTTTGTAGTAAACAATTATAGGCATTTTTTTTTTTTTACATATTGTTGTCTGAAGCAGTGGGTAAATGCTGGGGCTAACTATAGGCTAACCAAAAACTTAAAAGAAAAAAGTAATACTTTCCTGGGAATCCAGGTCGCCATGTGCATGCATAAGGCTGTGCACATGCCCAGGGCTGCTTCCCAACTCAGCAAAGACCAGAGGAGCTACCAAACTCTCACTTTTGGCTAACTATTAAGGTCTACACAAGCAGAAAGTAAAGGTTATGGTAGAATTATAAAATGCCTGCCTGCGTATGAAAGGCATGGCCCAATACACACTCACAGTCCTGAGTCTAAGACTAGGAAACTTGCTGTTTCCAAGCATTTAAGAAAATCTCTGTTTAACCATTAGCTAACCAAGCAGATATACTTCAATGGCCTACTCGGAAAAGAATACTGAGCTAACAAAGTTATTTCAGAAGAGTCAAAAAAGCAGCAGGAACAAAAACAACAACCAAAGATGAAGAGAGAGGGAAAATCTCATCTCCAGAATTGCCTAACATGATTACTAAAAATGTCCAATTTTCAACAAAAATTGATCAGGCAGGCAAATAAACAAGAAAGTATAGCACACAAAAAGAAGAAAAAACATCAATAGTAACTATCCTTGAGGAAGCCCAGACATTACTTACTAGACAAGAGTTTTCATCAAGTGTTTTAAATATATCCAAAGAACTAAAGTAAACCATATTTTAAGGACTAAAGGGAAATATGAAATGATATCTCATCAAATAAATTATCAATAAATATACAGAACTTAACAAAAAAATCAAAAAGGAAATTTAAATTTGAAAAATACAGCTAAAAATGAAAAACTAGAGGAGCTCAACATCAGATCTAAACAAACAAGAAACAGACAGAAGAAGGAATCAATGAACATGAAGATAGGTCACTTGAGACTAGTCTGAGGAACAGAAAGAAAAATGAAGAAAAATGAATAAAAAAGAATATAGTATCAGAGATCAGTGGGACACCATTAAGTAGACACCAACACATGCTTAATGTGGGCACCAACATATGCACAAGACATGGAAACAACCAACATGTCCTTCTATAGGTGACTGGATAAAAAAGATGTGGTACATATATACAATGGAATATCACTTGACCATAAGAAAAGATGAAATACTGCCATTTGCGACAACATGGATGGATCTTGAGATTATTATGCTAAATGAATAAATCAGGCAGAAAAAAAACGAGAATCCTATGACTTCACTCATATATGGGATATAAAACTGAAAGCAACAAACAAGACAAACAAATAAAAATTCATTGACACAGAAAACAGTTTATTGGTTACCACAGGGTAGGAAGGGAGAAGAGTGGTAGAGCAGGGTAAAGAGGGTCAAATATTCCGTGATAGAAGAAGAATTGACTCTGGATGATGAACACACAATAGACTATATAGACAATGTATTATAGAAATGTACACTTGAAACCTATATACCATTACTAACCAATCTCACTCCAATAAATAAAAATTAATAAAATAAAATAAAGTACCCTTATAATGTTATTAACCAATGTTACCCTAATAAATTTAATTTTTAAAAGTAAAAAAATAAAAAAGAAAATACATTGAGTTGCATGAAAATAAAAATACAACATACTCAGGCTGGCCAAGTGGCGCGATGGTTAAGAACTGGCTTGGGACGCCAGAGGGCCCCAGTTCAGATCCCACATATGAGGGCCAGTGACACTGCCCTCCACAGCTAAGATGCTGAACAACAGCTCAACCTGGAGCTGGGCTGCCGTGAGTCGCTGGCGACGGCGTAGGCTGCAGCCCCTGTGGCAGTGGGTTGCCATGGGCTACCGTGCATAGCCAGCAGCCAGCGTGAGCGGCCAGCAGCCGCTGTGAGCGGCCGTCCAGAAGCCGGCGACTGATCTGCCTCGCCAGGGAAGAGCGCAATGATGGTGCCAACTTGGGCCAGTGAAGCAACGTCCTCCACAACTAGATTGAATAACAAAAAACGACAGCAACTTGTCTGTTCCCCTTCCCCAATCCCCCAGCACTGTTCCCATCCCCCCAAATCCCCAATAAAAATCTTTAAAAAAAAGAAAAAAATACAACATACTAAAAAACAGAAAAACAGTTGAAGCTGTGTTTAGTGGGAATTTATAAGTGTAAACCCATATTTAAAAAGATCTCAAATCTATAACCTGACCATCCACTTTAAGAATCTAGAAGAGAGAAAAAAGAACACTAAACCCAAATCAAGCAGAAGAAAGTAATAAGCACGAGAGCAGAAATAAAATTGGGAGTAAGATGGAAAAAGAAAAAAGAAAAATCAATGAAACCAAAGCTCAGTCCTTTGAAAAGATCATGGAAATTGACAAACTTATCTAAACTTACCCAAAAGAGGGTGGATGTTTCTATGGTCTAAATATGTACCTCTCAAATTTCTATACTGATATCCTAATTCCAAAAGGTGATGGTATTAGGAGGTGGGCCCTTTGGAGGTGATTAGGCCATGAGGGTGGAACCCTCATGAATGGGATCCGTGCTGTTTATAAAAGATCCTACAGGGCTCCCTATCCCTTCCTTCCATCACGTGAGGACCCAGGAAGAGGGCTCTCACCATAATGCGACCATGCTGGTGCACTGATCTCAGACTTCCCAGCCTCCAGAACTGTGAGAAATAAATGTCTGTTGTTTCTAAGCTATCCCGCCTATGGTATTTTGTTACAGCAGCCTAAAGAAGCTAAGACAGGGTTAAACCTCAAATTAAGGAATGAAAAGAGGGACATGACTACTAATCTTACGGAAATAAAAAATATATATTATACAGGAATACTATAAACAATATTTTTGCCAACAAATTAGATAACCTAGATGAAATGGATAAATTCCAAGAAAGACAAAAACTACCAAATCTGACTAAAGAAGAAACTGAAAGTCTAACGAGACCTATGATGACTAAAGTGTTTGAACTAATCAAAAATTCCCACAAATAAAAACCCAGAACCAGATGGCTTCACTGGTGAATTCTACCCAACATTTAAAGAAGAATTACCCAATCTTTCACAAACTCTTCTTATTCTACGAGCTAGTATTATCATGATACCAAAACCAGACAAAGATATCAGGAGTTTTCAAAAAAAAAAAAATTTATAGCAATATCCCTTATGAATAGAGACAAAAATCCTCAAAATACGAGCAAGCCAAATCTGGAAACATTTAATAAGGATTATATATACATCTACAAATAAAATCCAGCAACGTAACAGAGAATCAATTTATAAGCTCTGGATCTTCACCTCCCATTGATTCTTCAAAACCAAGGAAACCAGGCTTATCTCCCTACCACTCAGTCTACTAAAAGGAGTTAGAAAAAGTAACTAACAACCTTCTACCTGTTAGCTCTGCAAGTCTTTATGAAGCTATTCTCTTCCTCAAACTCTTTCCTTCATTTTGAAACACCTCGAATTCCTATTTTCTCATCTGCTAGCCACAAAAAAGTTAACAGAAAAGTCTGAGTTCTAGTCCTAACTTAGCAGGTAATTCATTATGATAACGTTAGTTAATTACTGAACTTTTATTATATGTAAGGACCACACTAAGCATTTTATAAACGTTATTTAATTCAATCTTCTAAACAACTCTAGGATAGTTTTCTATCTGTAAAATGAAAATAAATATCTAAGAAGCAGAGAAGTTAAATGAGATGCCAATGGCATATTCAATATTTGAATATGTACGTCTATTTAACTTCAAATTCTGGCTCTTCATTATGTCTCCCTGTCACATGAAGCAAATCACTCACCTCTCCAGTATTTGGTTTCTTCATCTGAAGGTTACATATAGCATCTCTGAAGTCCCATACACCTCAAATATTGGGTTGATGGAAAAGTCATGATGTAATTTTTTCTGTTTTTTGTTGCAAAAATGCGTCATGACTTTTCCAACAACCCAATATTATAATGAAATTAAGAACTTTATTAAAAATTTTTCTCAAGTTAGAGAAAGAACACTAAGACATGGAAAAAGGTCCAAAGGCATAATGCTCTCACAAAGAGGGCAAAGATACCAGTTTTCTTGTTCTGATAGTTTGCCTAGAATTTAGAAAGGGCAACAGTTCTGTACACCATTAAAAAAATCTCCTAGCAACCTCAGAAAAAATACACTGTTCTGCCATGACAGAAAGAGCAATTATATGTAAAGCTATGCATGATATAAACTGAATTAAAAGTGATAATATACAAAGATCCTAAAAGCCAGTCTGCATTATACAAATGTTAACTTGATCTAATTATACAAATGAAAATATGTACCGTTCATTATGTTCCTGATAAACGAGCCTGGACTTCTCCAGTAGATATTTTTCAACATAGGCACTAGAAGAAAAATAAATTGGTTGATATAAATAACAAGCTTAATATAAGGTATACAAATATTTTTTCAGAGAAAATGGAAAAGTATAAAGAATACTATCCTGATCATTGTAGTATATTTAACATTATAATTGCGTTATGGACACTGTTATAGTGTTATCCATGTTAAATTCATGAACTCATAAGTCTGTTTTTGTTTTGTTGTTTGCTTTCAATAAAGCAAAATAAAGTCAGAAGTTCAAAACATAGCACAGCACACAAGCACCTCCCATGACGTAAGTCTTTACTTTTTATTCCAGGTTCATATACACACTATACATTCTTTCAGATACTGTACTTCAGCCAGACTAGTAAACAAGGCTCAAAGACATACTTTCTTTACATACTCATGCCACTGCCACATTCTGGAATCAATTTATTTATTATTTACTGATTTACTCCATAAGTATTCGTTAACTGTGCACTGTGCTAAGCACTGTGCAAATACAGAAATAAGTGATACACTACCTGTTCTCAAGGGGCTTACAAACTAGTGCAGGAAATAGGTAAACCAACAGCTATCATACTGAGTTGACAGGGTTTATAGAGCAATGACCAGGGTATTATAGATGTACCAAGAGAAACACATAAGATTCAATCCAAGAAGGAAAAGGATATAAGGAAGAATTCCCACAGAGAATGAGTACACAGCACATAATAAACATTCGTTAAACATATCTGGTAAGTGGCTGAGTAAATGACTCTGAAATCTGAAAGACTGAGCAGAATAAGGCAAGAACTGCCTTTATGTAAAGGCATAAAAGAAGGAGGGTACTTATGAACTTCAGGGAAGATAATTAGTTAACATGGCTAGAGAATGAGATAGGCCGGTAGACTAGATCAAGAAGGACCAATATACCATGAGCCAGAAGAACTGACTTTATCCTGAAGTAATGAGGAACTGAAACATGAATTGTATTCCTGATGTTATTGTTTTTATCCAGTCTGTACACTTCAAGTCTCCAATACCTCTTACCCAAATTGCAGCAATCAGATAGCTCTAACAAGAGAAAGAGATTCTGTAAATTTAAAAGCTGTACTACTGAATCCAAATGACTTCACACAACCCTCTTTGGGGTAAAAATCTGACCCTTGAGCTTTTATTTCCCTTAGTTCCCTCTCCCTACATATTCTATATTTTATTCACTCCCACGTACAGGCTATTCCCTCAAGCATGACATTCACTCCTCATTGTATTGTTCATGGTCTTCCCTCTACTTCTAATTCTGCAGTCTCTTCCCACTCTCTGTCCAGTAGATTCCATTCGTTCATTAAAATGAAAATCAAATGTATCATCTTTGCAAACCCATTGCCACTACTACCACCAGTAACTGAAATTTATCACTTCTTAATTACCGTTATCACCTCTAGACTAAACTACTCAACAGGATCTTACCTGTCTAAAATGGAAGAAAGGAACTAACATAAACTAGTGTGTTAAATTCTAACACTCACCATGCATAGCAAATATCACTGCCTCTATTTTACAAGTGGAGAAAATGATATTCAAAGATATTAAGATTGTGCAGCTCGTAAAACAGCAGAACTGGGATTTGAACCCAGGTCTATTTTAACTTCAAAGGCTCTCTCTTTCAACTACACCAGCATATTCCTGCATATCTCTTTCCTCCTCTCTAATCCATGAGTTATATAAGAGTTACCTGCCTGTAAAATAAGATCTAATCATGTTATTCCTCTACTTCCATTTGCTCCTTATACTGAAGTACATAGGGGTCAATTACGTTACGTCCATCTCGGATGGTTTTTTAAAATACATTGGCATAAAAAAAGAAAAGGGATGAGGAAATATGGCAAAATTTGATAACTACTGAATCTGGGTGGGAGTTCCATGTACTATCCTCTTTATTTTTGTGTGTGTTCGATATTTTTTTATAAAATTTTTTAAATCTCCTTCCCAGTGTCAAGAGGATAAATTATAAACATTGGGGCTTTATTCCCATTGTGAAACCAACTCTGTACCCATAATTACTAGCCACTGAACCTACCTCCTCAAGTACACCATGATTCCCTTCATTAGCTAATGCCAGTTCCTCAATAGATAATGTGATTTCCCACTTTTTCTGCGTGGCAAATTTTCAAGATCCAAGATAAAAATCACCTTTTTTGTGTGAACTCCTCCAGACACATACAATCATTGTACTTATCTCATTTACTGTAATCAGCTTATATAAATATCTATCTTCCCAAAGAGACTGAGAACTTTAATGGCAGGAAACATGTCTACATGTTTTTACATCCTCAAACTTAACACAGTGCCTGGTACTCAAACTGAACTCCATAAACGTTTGCTTAATGAATGATAAAGTGAAAAATAAAAATGTGCAACATATTCAAGGTGTGATTGACAAATACAGTGAATGTTTAAATTTTAAAAATTTATTACAGTAAAAGACACATTGCCATTAATCCCCTTCAAAATACGCCCCCTCGCTTCGAACACACTAATCCCATTTTTCTTGCCACTTTCTGAAGCAGTTCTGGAAGTCCTCTTTTGTGAGTGTCTTTAGTTCATCCTACATCGTGATAACGCTCCATGTCGCTTCTGGTAAAGCAATTTCTGTGAAATAAAAACATTACGGTGTGTCCTCATCCACCTTATTCACCAGATCTGGCACCGTGCTACTTCTGGCTCTTCCCCAAAATCAAAACGATTCAGGACATCGAGGCAGCCACGACAGCACAACTAAAGACACTCACGAAAGAGGACTTCCAGAACTGCTTCAGAAAGTGGCAAGAACAATGGGACAAGTGTGTTCAAAGCAAGAGGGAGTATTTAAAGGGGGATTAATGGCAATTTGTCTTTAACTATAAGAAACTTCTTAAAATTTAAACATTTACCATATTTTTTTATCACACCTCATATTTGTTGACTTAATGTTAAAGTTTAAAATGTTCAATATGTATTTGTTGACTTACTACTCAAGGTGAAGATTTTTGCTTTTTACTGATATAAGAGAAAGTTTAACCTTTTTAGGTAGTCACTTAACTAGGAGAAACTGAATTTCATTATGGGAATAAAATGGGAAAATAAACATTTGCCATTCCCAAGGCATGAAGCTGTCTTAAGAATCAATGAATATACAATCTGTAAAAGTTAGATACTATATGATCCCAACTATATGACATTCTGGAAAAAAGCAAAACTGTGGAAACAGTAAAAAAAGATAGGTGGTTACCAAAGGTTACTGAGTGCGAAGAGATAAACAAGAGAAGCACAGAGGATTTTTAGGGCCATGACACTATCCCGTATGACACTGTGAGCGTGAATTTGTGTCTTTCTACATTTGTCAAAGCTCAAAGAAAATACAACACAAATGAAACACACTAATGCAAGATGTTATTAATACGGAGAACTGCGGGACCGTGAATAAGTATATGGGAACTCTGTATTTTCTACTTATTTTTGTCATGAACCTAAAGCTGCTCTAAAAATAAAGCCTATTAATTAAAAACAAAAGTTATAAAGAATATTCCTGGCACAACTAGAGGACTCTGATCATAGACTGTATAATACGAAGTAGTGTAACAAAATTAAATTTCTTGAGTATAATAATAGCGTTATGTAGGAAAAAGTGGCTGGGATTGCTTAGAAAATAAAGTAATTATGGGGTCAAGTTATATGCCCAACTTACGCAAAAACAGTTTCAAAAAATGAATGCATGAATAATATAGAGAGATAAAGCAAAAGCAGCAAATTGTTAACGATTAATAAATCTAAGTTAAGGGTGTATATGAGTGTTACACTACTAGTCTTAGAACTTTTTTCAGGTTTGAACTCCCCCCCCAAAAAAAAAAAAGTTGAGAGGAAAAAAATGTAATGTAGACATCACTGGTACTATTCTCAGTAAAGAGAAAATGAACAATCTATGGTTTATAAAGGAAATACAAACATGCTCCGAACCCTACTATTGCCACTTACCCAAGTACAGTGCCTGTTTCTTGGTAATTTACTTGAATAAACTTGCCAAAACGACTTGAATTGTTATTATGAGCTGTCTTTGCATTTCCAAAGGCCTGTCAAAATAAACAGTTCTCATTAATTTCTTTTTTAAAAAATGGAAAATCCTACTTACTTAGGTCAGCTCAGAGACAAAATACAACAGAGAGCAGAAAAGCTATTCACTTATACCTTCAGACTGATATAGTTCAGGTAAAGTAAAGGAAAGCAACTAATAATTGAAATAAAACCAATTAGGCAGTATTTTATGCAATTCATTAAAATAAAACTTAATTTAAAAATTTTAATGTTCATTAAAATTCAGATTTCAATTTCACATTCTAAAGTCAGGAAATTTCTTAACATATTTATATATGTATTTTTTTTTAATCTTTCTAAACTGAAATAAAAAGGGGCTAGGTAAAAAATAATTACAATTTTAGAATAGTATAAATGAAGTTTCATTACATAATGTACTGCACTTTATGACATCAACTTAAAGCAAAGATAGAGTACTATTTTTGAAATAATAAAAAATATATAGCTTTCTTCAACTGTTACCTAAAGTATAACCATGCAATGAAATACTATCCAGCAAAAAAGATGAACTGGTACAGACATCAACAATGATGAATATCAAACATTATGCCAAGGAAAGAAACCATACACAGAAGTGCATATTGTAGTATAAAATTCTAGAAAAAGCAAAACAAGAGTAACAGGAAGCAGATCAGACGTTGTCTGGGAATGGAGGTGGGTTAGAAAATGTCTACAAAGGAACGCAAGGGATAATGAAAATATTCTATAGCTTGACTGCATGATGGTGGTAACATGGGTGCATATATTTATCAAAAACCACTGAAGTGTACATTTTAAATGTCTGTACTTTATTGTAAGTTATATCTCAATAAAATTGATTAAAATTGAAATTTAAAAGTTGAAATCACACAATCAATAGCTTGAATCTCCTAGGCATACAGCTGAATGAGAGATGCCAGTCTTAAAACTTTACATACTATACTGTATGATTCCATTTATATGACATTTTGAAAACCAAAAAACAACAGCAATGGAAAAAAGATAAGTACTTCCCATGAATTATGGAAATATATGGGAGGGCAGAAGGTATAAAGACAAAGAATAGGGCCAGCCGAGTGGCTCACTTGGTTAAGAGTTGACTCAAGAGTGCGAGCTCTGAGCAACAGAGTCACTGGTTCGATTCCCACATGGGCCAGTGAGCTGGGCCCAAGCTGAGCTACCGTTGAGCTGCCAACAGGTGTCAGGATGGCTCAGCTGGTGAGAGCATGTGCTCCTAACAACAAGGTTGCCCGTTCGAGATAGTGGGCTGTGCCCACCCGCAACTAAGACTGAACTCGGCACCTTGAACTGAGCTGCCGCCCGGGTAGCTCAGGGAATAGAGCGGGTGCTCTTAACAATGAGGCTGCTGGTTGGACTCCCAAATGGGATGGTGGCTACGCCCACCTGCAACTAATTGAATTGAATTGAACACAGCACCTCGAGCTGGGCCGTGTGACTGGACTTGGAGCTGAGCTAGCTGACACCCTCCACAACTAAGACTGAAGGACAACAACTTGGCTGTTCCCCTCCCCCAATTCCCCAACACTGTTCCCCTTCCCCAATTCCTCAATAAAAAAAAAAAAAAGATAAGTAATAATGTGAGGAAGTTTTATGGTTAGTGGAACTATTCTGTATCCAGGTTGTATATAAATGATTATAGAAATTAATATGTTTTAAAATTCATAGAATTGTTCTGCAAGGTTATTTCTTTTAATTTTAATATTTTTAAAAGTTAACCATTAATAAATGAAGGCAAAAAAAGACAATTTCAGACCTATAAATCTGAAAATATTCATCATAAGCCAACCCACACTACAGGAAACATTGAAGGAAGTCCTTCATGAAGAAAAATTATATCATATTCAAATATGAATCAACAGAGGGAATGGAAAACAGAAGTGGCAGCCACATGAGTAAATATATAAAATATTTTTTAATACTTCAATCTCTTGAGAAAATTGAGAGTGCAATCAGAAAAAATGATGAAGTAAAAATCTCTGAAAAGCCTTTCCCAAACATAAATGAAATAAGACTAACAAAAATTGCAAATTCAGCATTTTGATGACTCTGGAAATTAACCAACGGCTTGAAATAATCGTTTGTAGAGGAACAGCTAATCAATATACATAGCTGAAATCTTGGTAAGAAAAACAGGCTTTGTGGCATTTTAACTTATCCGATTACCATCTCCCTCTTCCTAGCTCCACACTAAACAGAAAACCAACACCCTACAATTACAGTTTTTAAAAAAAAGGCAGCCTAGAAGTCATTGGGAGGCTTAGACCAGAGTCAGAGCCAAAGCCCTGTCCCAGAGATAATTTTCATAATTTGATCTATATGTCATTTCCCTGGAAAACCCCACTCAAAGAGCTATCTTTATTTGACCTGACTTGGCGATCACCCATTGAGAACAGCCTTTTCCCTCATGTGTGTTTGTTTGAAACAATCACAGGTAATTGTTCTCGCAACTGCCTAAGGTGGCAGTAAGAGGATGGGGCAAAAAAGAGGTAACAACTTAAAAGGAAAAGCTGGTGACTAACATGTACAAAAGGGGCTTTGAAAAGATCTGAAATGGGGGCCAGCCAAGGGGCTCAGTTTGTTAAGAGCATGAGCTCTGAGCAACAGAGTCACCGGTTTGATTCCCACAAGGGCCAATGAGCTGCGCCCGAGTTGAGCTGTCACTGAGATGGTGAGAGCGCATGCTCTTAGCAGCAAGGTTGCCGGTTTGAAGCCTGTATGAGATGGTGGGCCATGCACCCTTCTACCCCCCTCCACTAACACTGAACATGGCACCTTGAGCTGAGCAGCAGCGAGCTGCGAACGGGAGGCCAGGTGGCTCAGTGTGCAACAAGGTTGCCGATTCAAATCGCGCATGGGATGCTGGACTACGCCCACCTGCAACTAAGGTTGAAAGCGGTGACTGGACTTAGATCTGAGCTTGCGCCCTCCACAACTAAGATTGAAGGACAACAGGGGCCGGCCGAGTGGCGCGATGGTTAAGAACTCGCTTGGGATGCCAGAGGGCCCCGGTTCGGATCCCACATATGAGGGCCAGTGACACT